CACCCAATTCTCTTTCCCAGATTTTTCTCAACTCAAAATTGTTCTGTTTTCTCATGGGCTTGTCTTACTCAGAGTGGGTCTTTCCATTTTAGGAGACTTAAGGAGATTTGGATGCTTGAGGCTAACTGGATGTCACTAGACAGGACAGCAATAGTCATCTATACACATTATCTCTTCATTGCTTAACATCTATATCTGAAATGGGAAAATAAATGAAGGAACTTGAATAATGACCAACAACCATAACCAATAAGGGAAGGGGGATTTAATCCTGCATCAGCAGGAAATAGGAGTATTAAGAAAGCCACACTGGACAGAGGCAGCAGCTCCTTCCTGAGCAGTCTTAGCACTGGGGCCTCAGCTCTGTCCTCCATGCACCGCAGAAGGTGCTCCTGAAGCCCAGGCATTCCTTCATGTCTACCGCAGAGGGATTGGGGACCTGAGAGCCCAGATCGAATATGGACCGACAGTTGGGCATGAGCCATGGACCCTGAGCCCCAGCCTTCCCTCAGGGACTCCACCACTAACCTGCACACCCCGTGCCGGGGCTCCACAGCAAATGCCGTTCTGCCCCTCAGTGTATGCAGAAAGGCTAAGCCAGCATCCCGAGGCCAGTGACACGACACCACCCCACAACCGGTGCTGCTCAGGATGGGCACTCTGTTCACTCACTTCACGGAAGCGGTGGATATGCTGGAGGAAGCACATCACTGGGAGAAGGCTTTGACAGTTCTTAAGCCTTGCCAGAATTCACGTTTCTCTTCGCTTCCTGTGCCTGGTTGAAGATGTGAGGCCTCACGTTTCTGCTGGCCACCTCCTCTCCTCTGGCCATGCATTCTCTCCATTATAAAATCTCCCTCTGGAAGCATAAGCCAAATAAACTCTGCCTTCTATAAGCTGCCTTGGTCATGGTGTTTATCACAGCAACAGAAAATTAACTAATACAGAAATTGCTACCAGAGAGTGGGATATTTCTGTAATGAATCTGACTATATATATCTGGGAGGATTGTGAAAGTTTTTGGAACACTGGACTGGAAAAGCCCTTGGAGCTCAGTGAGCTGTTCTGTAGAAACTAGGAAGATAATGCTTAGAGTATTGTAGATGATAGAGGACTGACTTGTGAAGTTTCAAAGGGAAACAAGGCTGTTTGTATGGAATTAAGAAATTTTGAAATAGAAACTTTCTGTGCTTTAGAGGAATAATCAATGCTGATCAGCTGGGGCTATAACAAGAGATCAGCATCACCCAGGTGGAATCTTCTGGAAAGCTTTTCCTCATGAACAGCACACAGAAGCTGTGACCCAGAGTGGGCGAAGGTTGCACATCAAACTGGCAGCAGAACTTGGCAATGTGTATCTCCCATGTGGTTCTGGTTTTGAAGGCATGAAGGGGTCCTGGAGAGAATCCGTTTTGTACCATGAGAGGCCATCAATGAAGGGGTTGCTTCATTTGTGCTGAAGACCCTCCCAGAACTGAAGGGATCAACTGAGGATTGGCACCCTGAGAGGCCAAGAGAGGGCCTTGGAGAAGGTTCAGCCTCAGTTGCAAGAGAAACCCCAGCATATTGGAGATGCCAGAAGTGTGGGATGACCAACAAGGGCAGAGGCAAGAGTGGAATGGAGCCAGCCTGAACCTACAGGACAAGCTGTGTGTACTGCGGTAGCCAAACCAGAGAAGTGGAGCTGCCCAAGCCCTGTGAAGCCCAGAATGTCATGAATGAATCCCGGATGTCCAACACTGAGCTACGTTGCCGGACTTTGGTTTTACTTAAGTGTGCCCAGGTCATCCCTTTTGAAATAAGAAAGAATATAATATTTTTGGATCTTACAGGAACCCACAGTTAAGAGACTTTCTAGAGTTTGAAGTTTTGAAGGGTTTGAAATTTTTAAAGAATGTGGAACATTTAAAGCTGTACTGTATTATACTGTGATATTAATATTAGCATCATATCTGGGGACAAGAAATGGAAAGCTTGTGGTTTAATGATGATATGTTTGTGTATCAAATTGACAATGAGTCAATTGTCCTGGATAGCTTGGTTGTGAACTTGATGTGCCTGGGAAGAGGGAACCATGATTGGGGAATTTCCTGTAAGCATTTCTCTGAAGCTTTTTCTTGATTGATGTATTATGTGGGAGGGCTCAACCCACTGTGGCTAGTGCCACCCCCAGACAAATGGTCTTGGGTTTTATAAGAAAGCAGAATGGGCACAGGCCAGAGGAACAAAGTAATAAGCAGCATTCCTCCATGGTCTTTGCTTCAGCTCCTGCCTCCAGGTTCCTGCCCTGACTTCTCTCAGTGATGAACCTGGGAGAAATAAGACAAAATAAACCCTTTCCTCCCCAGGTTGGTTTTGATCAGTGATTTTATCACAACCATAGAAATCAAACTAGGACACCAGTTCTCAGCGAGAGCACCAAGTGTTCTTAAGCACTGAGAAATCTCTTCAGTCCCATATTTTTGTTACTAATGTATTTTATAAAGTGCATTAGTCAGTTTTTCATCATTGTGACCAAAGCATGTCAGAAAAATCTTATGGGAAGGATTTATTTCACGGTGCATGGGGGGACTGCAGTAGTTGCCAGGGAAGGAACAGCATATTACTGGAGATATGACTCTACAAAATGAACATGTTTAAAACTTAGATGTTTTAAGTGGCATTCAAATATTCATGTCTTTTGAAAGGATCCATGAAATATTTATTAATTCTTTCCAGAGAAACACAATGAATGCTCTTTACTTTGACCCCCATAGAAAAACAGAAATCACAAAAGGTCGTCATTTTTAATTTATTTTTTATTCAGAAAACAATTGTGGAGCATGTTTTTCACAGCCATGAGAACATCTTTATTCCTAAAGCTGTAGATGATGGGGTTGAGTATGGGTGTCAGGATGGTGTAGAATACTGCCAAGAACTTGTCCTGGCCTGGAGTGTGGTATGATCGAGGTCTCATATATGTGAAAATAGTTGGCCCATAGTACATCATGACCACAAGCATGTGGAAGGAACAGGTGGAAAATGACTTTTGTCGTGCCCCTGATGACTGCATTTGTAGGACAGTGAGGAGAATTTGCACATAAGATATAGAGATCGTGGAAAAGGGAATGAGCAGGAATATAATGCCACTCACATAAACTCCTCGTTCATAGTGTGATGTGTCTACACAAGACAACTTCAACATTGCAGGGACTTCACAGAAAAAGTGATCAATGGCCCTAGAGTGACAGAATGGAAAATGGAGGGCAAAAGATGTGTGGACTATGGAGTTGGAGATTCCCACGAGCCAGGATCCTGCAGCCATGAGCCCACTGGAGTTCTCCCTCATCAGCACAGGGTACCGAAGTGGGTGGCAGATGGCCACATAGCGATCATAAGACATGGCTGCCAGGAGAAGGCACTCACCACCTAGCAAGGTCATGGACAGAAATAACTGGAAGGCACAGCCTGCAAAGGAAATGGTTCTGCTGCCTGACAGAAAGTCAGCGATCATTTTAGGCACAATGTTGGAAATGTGCAGGATATCCATGAAGGAGAGATGGCTGAGCAGGAAGTACATTGGGGTATGCAGTCGAGGGTCCCTGCGGATTAGGAGGATCATGAAAGCATTTTCTGTTATGGTCATAATAAAAATAAAAAATATCAATGAGAAAAAGACTAGACCTGTCTGTGAAGAAGAGAACAGTCCCAAAAGAATGAAGTCACTGTTGAAAGTGTGATTGTCAAGTTCCATCATGATACCTCCTGTATTACCTAAAATGACATAGAAAATATGGTTGAGTATCAGGTTCATTTTATATATGTGTGTGTGTATACATATATGTATGCATATATACATATATATTAAAATGATTTAATGTCATATTTTGTTTCAACATCAGGAGTCTTGTAGAGAGTCTTTAGAGTGGACATATTGTTCAGGATAGACATTTATTTCTTCAGAAAAATTTGTGATGTTAATTGCACCCAAAAGGCCTTTTTCTATATTTTAATTCTCATAGTTTCAATTGATTTCATAAAGTTTACATATATCCAGTCATTTACAAGTGTGTCTTCTAAAGGATGGCCCTGTCTGCACACTCTTTACAACCTTCTTTTCCACTGGACTTCCTTTGGTTGGAATGCCATGGTGAGTCTCTTCCAGAAACCTGGGTTCCGGGCAGGAAGAATGGTAAAACCATTAATTAATTAATTAATTAATTAATTATTCCAGTTAAATCCAGCAGACTTTCCTGCTCTCTGTGCTTTGCTCCACCCTGACATTTTTCAACATCACTTTTCACCTTCTATCTTAGTAAATAATAAGCTCATGAGTTATGTTGATTGTTCGCTGTCATTATTCCACCCAAGTTTTAACCTCATCATAATTTGGTCTGTTCACAGGCAGAACCCAAAAGCCTAGAACAGAAATGGGCTTATACCATTTGCTAGGTAATATTTGTTAATTTGCAGGTAAAATAAATTGTCCATGCCAGAGAACAGACCCCGCCTATGATCCTGTGAGTATGAGTAACTCCTCTGGTCATGCTCCAAGGCCTCCACAAAGCACAAAAATAAATATTATTACCACGAGTCTGAATTTTTCTTCAGTGAATTTCCTATTAGATAACACATATGGAGAACAAAATATGAGATGCCTAAGATTTTTCATGGTAATAAATAATGAACAACATAGTAAAAGTTATCTATGTTCTATAAATTTGAATATCATCTTTGTTTTAAAGGAAAGGATACCAGCTGAATCTGTTTGAAATAACTAATGCATTTTAATAATATTTTCATTGACTCCTTGAGAATTTTATACAATGTGTTTTAATAATATTCCAACTCACTCCCCCATCTCCTCTTAGATCCTCTCCACCTACCTACCCCCAACTCCATCGTTAAGAATACATTTTAGTTTAATTTTAAACTTAAGAATTTAGCTATTGCAGTTGAAGACATGGGTCAGTGGTAAAGAGCACTGCCTGCTCTTACAGAGGACCAGGGTTCAGTTCCCAGCGCCCACATCACAGCTCACAATTATCTGTAACTCCAGTTTAGGGGATTCAATTCTCTCTTCTGACCTCCACAGGTATGTCAAGGCACAGTATACCTAGATACATGCAGCCAAAACTTACTCATACACGTAAAATAAAAATAAGGTGATGTTAAAACATGTGTCTGGAATTTGCTAATTCTGTTGTTTCTTTAGATTGCAGTTATGTAAACCTTGTATAAACAGATGGTGTTTTTCATCATCTAGTTTCAAATATTCCTAGTACTAGTGTTAGATGAAGCTATAACACACAACTCACACATCTGTTTCTTCTACATTGGAGTTAATGAGAGAATACGCTTTCCACATATTTTAAAGTGTTAACTTTTTCAGAAAATACTTGAATCTGTGATTTCTAAGAAAGTCTTAGACTTTCTGAAAATCCCTCTCTCTTTATAAATATGCAAGGATTTATCATGCGTAAAAATAATCAGTATGTTGAATATAAAACAGTCATTGTGGATTATTCTCCACATAAATTATTTAAACTTAAAATGGCCATTTCAATGGAAAATGGGCTCCAGTTATAGAGAAAAGAATCAATAATGTCAGCATGGACTGTGTAGATGATTCAGTGCCAAGAAATTTAATATAGTAAAAAGAATAGCCCAAAATTATTTTTCCAAACTTATAGTCACACTTCTTTCAAATGACTGTGATTAAGCATCAGTGTGTGTTTAAGTAAGAGACAGAGACAGAGACACATGTGGACAAAAACAGACAGAGATTCTCACCATATCGAAATCCTTTGCCATGAAAAATTATTTAGGGTCTTTAACTTCTATTGTCCATTAACGCAACTAGTTTGCACAAGCAGCTGAACTGATTTCTATCTATGACGCTGTGTGGGTCCTGCTGTGCTTATCCACTTGTTGAATTGGGCTGTGCATAGCTCATTAATGAGCAAATGCTCCCCTAAGTTCAGCCCTGCTTTGAAAAACTTTTCTAATTTTATATTCAGGAATAGCTCGGACTCTTATTAGACCCTTATCTCATAGAAAGTATATGATTTGACCCTTTCTACTACTTGGTTCTGTTTTTATTTTATTTTTTTGCTTGTCTACTGTTGTGTCTTTGTACACACAATTGCACACATGATGTGTATGTGCATGGACATGTGTGCCACAGTTCATGAGTGGAGGTCAAGGGACCATTTTTCTGGAGTCAGCTCCCTCCTTGCACCTTTTCCATATGTTCCAAGGATCAAACTCAGGTCATCCAGTTTGAATGGCAAGCACCTTTGCCTGCTAAGTCTCCAAGCTGGCCTCCATTTAGTAGTTACAATAGTTCCTAAAATACACTATAGATGCATCAAGATAGAATTGCTTAGATTACATTTATGCATTTATCCAAATGAAACTGTATTATGTGTTGACTAATTTCTGAAACTCCAGGTGACTTATATGAGTATTGTATGTTAGTTTTAAAATAAATACGGCATATTACACATTTGTAATTATTACAAAATGTTATACATTTTATGATCAGAATTTATCATGGTAAATATTAATAATAAAAAAAAATCAATAAATTAGCTTCAAGAGAGGAAGATAATAACTTTGACCCCCCTGTGGTAATGGTTTGCTGCTCTGAACAGCACCACTGGATCATAAACTTAGGTAGCCTATAGCACAATATTATTCTACTAGGCTTTATTCAAACTGTATAGCTCTTACTTTTTGCATAACATAGAAATTAAAGATACTAGAATTACAACTTGCCTGCCTTAGTATTGCCACATATAAATGTTTATTTAGTGCTAATAATAGGTACTTCTATCTAAAGAAAAATTTCGAGATGTAAACATTGTTTTGTTACAACCCCTTAATTTCAACAAAATCTCCCTATCTTAATTTACTATTTCCAGTGAATTGTTTATATATATGCGCAATTTTATCTATTTCCAATCTTTTCCATGAATTGATTATTTCCACATAAACTGTTTACCTTAATATTTCCATAGGTTTCAAGTTTTTGTATACTACAATTGTATATTTGAAAGCTTTTATTCCCAGAGGGTTTCATGCTGTCCTCAGTTCAGAACAGATGACTCTGTCCCACTCAGAAAAAGCCAACTGCCTCAGGACATGACATTCAACCTGGAGGTGAGATGGTATGCCATGAACGCTCACTACTACAGCACAGGACTGGGATTGCTGCGGCATGAATCAAACCATGCATCACCAAGGACCCCAGTCCTTCCTCCTGTCCTCATTTCCCATCACATCAGACCACACCTGATTTACTGCACATTGGACACTTTCACAAGTAATTTGCACACTTACTTCTCTAGGCTTAGCAATGCAAGGGACATTCTCACTGAGGGGATGTTGAGCCCTTGCTTATGCTGTTAAGCCATCTGATTTGGTGTTACCTCTATAGTTAGAGAATGGAAGATGACGGAAAATGCCTCAGTTCCAACATTCCCTTTAGATCAGCTGGAGTTTGGGAAGGATAAGGGCAACAGATTGTTAGGAGGCAGCATGAAGAAGTGGGGGAGACATCTAGTCTCCTGGAAGTCCTTGGTGTGTGGTTTCAGGAAAAGAAAGCAGGCACCTTTTCATAGGGCAGCATGGGGAGCTGGCTCCCCAGAGAATGGCCTGAAGATGATGTGAGGAGGCCATGCTGAAATGGCTTGTGTGGAAGATGGGTGCACTGCCAGCAGTCCTGGCACTCCCTGGGGTGCAACAGGGAAGTCTGAGCATCACATCATCACAAAGTAAACTAAATACACAAGTGAATGCAGCCAAAGCATTCTTCTAATTCCAGTGATTTATTCACAATAGTGAAGACCAACCTTTTCTCAGCATTTTAAAATTTCAGGCAAGGTTTTAAGCATCTCTCATTTATTAGCATCTTATCAGACTTGTTATTGTTTTGAGAAGGGAAGCCCAAGATGACCTCGGAACTCACTAGGTAACCCAGGCTGGCCTTGTTCTTGTGACGGTGTCCTGACCAGCTACCATCTTACATTTATTTTATTTGTCAAATGAAACCATGGGGTCCACAGAAATTTAACAACTTTCAGTTCCAATGCTATTTAACTTAGTTCAAGGGCAATCTGGTCCTTTTGTTAGGACTCTTAGTCCAAAGGAAATGCCACATCCCCACAAATTTTGCTCATTCATTCAACAGAGAAATTCAGTTTTGTAATACTTTGTTCTTTAGGATGGAAGCGTAAATCTGTTCTGCATAGGTGCCTGTTGCTAGGATGCCACTTAATGTTTCACAGGTTTGCCATGTTCAGGCTGTTACAACTGGCCCTTTCCAAAGGCCAGCCTTTAATGTCAGAAACCTGGTTCATTTCTGTGGAGAAAAAGCAATGAGATTTTTCACAGTAAGTGTCTCCATTTTTTAACAATAACCCTTAACTCTGAAATCACTTAATAAAGATATCTTAACCATCTAAAAGTAAAATGAAGAGTAATCAATTATTAAAATGCAGTCATAGCCACATCTTGTGATGCGGGCCTCTAATCTTAGCTACTTGGGATGCTGAGGCAGGAGGATCACATGTTCACAGCCTGCCTGATCTACATGGTGAATTCAAGGACAGTCTTAAAAATGAATACAGGGCTAAGGCTATATTTCAGTGGAAGAGCACTTTCTTGGCATGTATGACTCTAGGCTCAATCCCCAGTACCTCCAAAAATGCCACCATAAGGAAGTACTAAATGAAAAAATTTATTGTTTTAACTTTATTGTTTAATTATTTTATGACGACAAAAACTGTTTTACGCTATCTGGATGATGATTGCACCAGCCCACTTAATGCATGTTAAAGAAAATGTGGAAACAAAACATTTATTGAAATCACCCTTTGGGTAGAGTATGTGCTTGATTACATGATCCAACCAGGTTCAATAAATAATAAATGAGCTGAGCTGAGGTCCATTAGAAACTTGGAAGCATGGTGGTCAGGTTTATAGCTCATTCTCCTCCCAGAAATCATCCATTGTGATGGAGCCTTCCAGAACCTCTTCAGGACCTGAATCAGGACATTCCTCTTGGTGCCATCTTCTGTAGAGTCTGTGTGGTGTGTCATAGTGGATTGGAAGAGCAACTGATTGAATGGTATTTGAGAAATTAAATGTTTTTAAAACAGACTTAATTCACTTAATTTTTCTCGTATAAAAACCCTAGGTAGTAGCCACAACTGGAGCCTGGGTTCTCTGCACAGAGACTCTGGTGTGGGTTTTCACAAGCTGATCAGTGAATTCCTGATAGGGAGACTTGGTGGATACTGTCTCTTTCCAGAGGTCAGGGGTCAAATAGCTGTAGGTCTTAGAGATGTTATCAAAGGTGACCTTGACGAAGTTGCCCAGGGTGGCAGTGCAGCCCCTGGCTGATGTATAACAGTCATCAATAGAAATTAAATTTTACAAAGGTGTGGGTCCACACCGTCCACACTCTACTGAGGGCAAGTGCAACAGAGCAAAGACCACTCCAGGAGTGCGCCAGAGGGCAGAACTCAACTTTACTTTTTAGCAGGCTGTATATATACACATAATCACCCAATAACATGAAAGGGCACCCATTGTGGACCAATGGGAGCAAAGGTCATGCTGATCATGTACTTACATCTAGCATTGGGGATCATGCACTGATCATGCACCAGTCATGAGGAGGCAGACCAATTAAAGGACAGAGGAAGCATGACAAACTCTCAGGCTATCTGTGGGGAAAGGTGTGGAAGGAGGTGAGGCCATGGCAGGTGTGCCATGATATGGAAACGGGCCTGAGCTATGAAATGGCACTGGCAGGTCTAGAATTTGGCCTACAAGTTCCCCTTTTTCTTTTATAAAAGCAACAATAGTTAGATGGAAGAGCATAAAACCCACCCTGAACACATAACATGCTTGGGCTGGGCTAAGGGTCTTGACCCTCCAACCATGTCAAAGCCAAATGTGTCCAGGCGGTAGCCTGCAGGGATAACTGTTCGTGAATGACTTCTGCCAACACTGCTATTTGTTGGCACTGATCCCTAATCCAAACACATAGTGCTCTAACACAGTAAAGCAGAATTATAATAGCCAATACCATTGCACTCCAAAACAGGGCCCTGAGGGGTTTACTGAACCATGAACCAATGGATTGCAAATATCCTAGAAAATCCTGCATCAAAGAGGGTAAAGGATTGATGTCAACTCAAGTATTATTAACACTGGAAGCTCTATCAGTGATACGTGCTGTAAGGTGAACCATCCTTTTGTCCTACATACCCCAGTCATATTGTGACTGATTATGGGTTTCATTAAGCAGAGCTACCCGCAGTATTAAAGGAATCATTGGCAACCAAGGAAGGAGTAACACAGACATGGGTGAATCAAACATCACAAGGAAGACCCATCATATGCAATATAGCCTCAGGGATAAAAGCATGAATGTCCAGCTGAGTCTGGAGGTTGGCTATGCCTAGTCTGACATGTTCTATGGAGTAGGCTGCTGAAGAAAATCTCTCCAAAGTAAATGCTGACAGATTGTTGAGTGCCAAGGCTTGAGCTGCCTGGTTAGTCAAGACCATCCCATCATTAACAGTGGAAATTAGCAGAGCAATCAAGGAACTAATGTCAAGAATCAGTAGGCCCAGTGCTCTCTTGGCACATGTCATCATTCTTGTCGGGAGGAGTCCTGCATCAGACTGATAGTCATCTGTCATAGTGACAGGGACCCATATGATGGGCGGTGTTCCTATAAAGAAAACATATTGCCCCTCCTTGAGGGCTAGGTTAGTGAGACAGTTGGTAATATTAACAGGTGTGACTCAATGATGGGAGTCAGTTGTAATAAGGAAACCAAAACCAGGGGGCGTGCATGCAGTAAATGGAGGACAGGTTGTAGCATTGGAGGAATTGCTTCTTAAGGTGCAACTAAAATTATAGCTATTGTGAAAGCTCTGTTATGCATGAACTATTTTTAGTAACATTGTCAGCAGATACACTGTCAAATTGGTATCTAAGGGAGAGTACAGATGTGTTGAGCACAAGGAGAAAGGGTCTCCAGTCAATACGCCCAGGCCCGAAAGAGGAATATAGGTTATTTTTCAGGAGTGCTTGGATCCAAGTGGGCTGAGGATAGGTGCTAGTAGTTTGGTGGTACCAAGACCAATATGTATATTTGGGGACCAGTAAGAGGGAATAGAGTAGTATGCTGAGCCCAACAGACCTGGGGATCCCATCAGCCAATGTACTAGGGTTGTCCGGCAATTGCACCAGCCCCCAAGCCAAGAGGAGTTCCCTGGAGCTGGATTAGTCTCCCAGCAAGTGGGAACACGTGGGGGAGTGCAGACTTATAGAATCTGAAAGTGTTAGTTAGGGGGCTGAAAGATGTAATGTGAACCAGATCCTTCCAATTAGCATGAAACACCTCCTGGGGTCCCAGGGGTGGGCATAGGCCCCGTGGGTCCCCAGTGAAATTAGGTGACATCCACCAGAAGGCTGCCCCAGGCTGGAGCTGGAGGCAGAGATTCGACAGTGTAAAGTTGTAAGAGGACTCTGCCAGTGGGCAGGCCCCAGTAGGGGGGGTACAGGGATTCGTTGCAAGAAATGGGCTGTGGTATGACATTCCAGCTGTGGGGACCTAAAGGCCCCACCTTGCATAGTTCCAAAAGGAAGTTACTGGGGGCATGGCCTGTCTTGCTTTGAAAGTCTGAAGAATACTTTCGCACTGCTGAGGAGTGCACGATCAGCGCATGACCATCCTTAAGATACACCCTCGCACGGGGTGGGGGGAGTTTCCAGGTGCCTTTATAAGCTCTGTAATACCTGTAATAAATGAGTCCCTGCTTGACTAGATTCCCCATTGCGTCTGAGTGTCCCTGGTACTGTGGGCTGGCGAACGGCGTGCTTACTCATCCCCAATCTTCACTGTCCGGAGGGTCGCTGGTTCAAACCCCCGGCACCCAGCCATATGGCCAAATGGTAACAGTGTTGGGAATATATCTCCAGAGAACATAGGCATTGGTCTGTGAAGGTAGCAGAGTCAAGCAAGTGAGTCCCATGAGGACAGTATAGATACCTCAGTCACACTTACCTGTTGGGTGTGAAGCTTCAGTCTGTACCTAGTCTGTCTTTTTTCTTTTGGCTTTTTGAGGGCTGATGGTGAGTTTTTGAAGCTGTTTTTGGAGCCACCAGAGGTTCCGTTGATCTTTCGAGACATCCTGGGAGGGTCCATGTCCTGGATAGCAGCAAGAGGGGGGTTGCCTGGCCAGGTCAGTCTCCTTAAATTTAGGGCAGCTTCTCAGTCAGCCATTAAACTGAGGGAGCCTGACGATCAGGACTTGTCATAATATCAGAATCCAAATCCAGGTGTAAAGGAACATCACCATCAGTATCTCTTGTATCAGTGTCATAAAACCAGTGAACTAATCTGACTGGGATCCAGACAGGTGGAGAGTGGTCCTGTGGGAAAACACAAGCAAATCCTTGACCCATGGTGAGCAGGGGATCAGGCCCTCTCCATAGACCTAACAGTGGGTCTTTCCAGCACACTAGGATGGGTGGGGCCTACTGCACTTCCCTCCAGTGTCAAACTACCACAGGTTGGGGATTTTTTTTTCTTGTGAGCTAGCAGGAAGGTTAACTATGTTTAGTATAAAGAGGGCCAGAGACAGCTGTGCCTGAGGGGGGAGATTATTTTGAGTTTTTTGTAACTGTTGTTGGGCCCTTTCAATAATTCCTTGACCTTGGGGATTATATGGTATCCCAGTCACATGATTAATGTGCCATATTTGACAATACTGAGAATAGGCCTGACTGGTTGAAGTGGGGACATTGTTTTAATTTGTGTTGATTTTCCCATGATGGCAAAGTACTCTAAGACATTTCTTAAGGTCTTTGGTTGTTTCTCCAGTATGAGCTGTGGCCCATATAAATTTGGAATAGGTGCCTGTGGCCCATATGAACTTGGAATAGGTATCTATGGTTATGAAAATGATTTTTGTCTCCCAAAAGGGAGGTAGTGGGTAACATCCATTTGCCAAATGACATTGGACTTGAGACCTCTGGGATTGACTCCTGCCAGTTGAAGGCCAGGGCACAGCACAAAGGATTGGCAATTTTTACATGTTCTTACCATGATGGCAAGTTGATCCTTGGGAATCTGAGGACACAGCACCTGAAGACCCTTATGATTAATAAGCATGAGTAATTGGAGGTCTCCAGAAGAAGGAGGAGGGGACAGAATGGCCAAAGAGGCCTGCAGCAGCCTGCCTGATGCCAAAGCATCTGCAGAGGCATTGCCATCATTAATAAACCCTGGTATATTTTAGTGACCTCAGACATGTTGGATAAAGAGGGGGTGAGAGCACCCAAGAAGGAGTGAACTAAGCTGTAGCATCAACACAGAAATAGGGTTTGGAGTCTTGTGCATGTGGTAACCCAGGGATGAGGTTGACAGCTATCCGTGAAAATACTAAGAGAGTCAGGGACAGCCCATAGGGCCAAAATAACAGCGTATAACTGCTTGGTTTGCAGTAAGCCAATAATTGGTTCAAAAATCTGCCACGAGGGCTCCTGGGCCCCCAAGGCAAATATAATCACTGCAACACCAGAGGCACCACCATCAGTGAAGACGTTGTATCTGTCTACCAAGGGTCTGTGGGCAAAAAGTTTGAAGGGAGACCAAAGCAGCCTAGGAAGACTAGCAGCCCATTGGGTATTTGGGTAACGGTTGTCAGTCTGTCCTAAATAATCTAGGAGGACCAGAGCAATTCGGGCATGATGTTGGAATAGCCAGGACAGGTCCTTTTCTCTAAAAGGAAAGATAATAGTGTCTGGCTCTTTTCCCAGTACTTCCTTAACCCTAGTGCAGCCTGCCAATATTAAGTCGGCCAGTTGATCCAATTCCAACAGGGATCAGGGTGCCCCAGCAATAGGTGTATGGAGCCATTCTAGGATCTGTTTACCCTGCAAGAGAACCTCTACAGATGTAGGGAGAGTGTTAAAATTAAAAGCTGAATTTGGAGATGAGGGTCATAGCGACCAGTCTGAGTATGTTGTAAGTGGATTAGAGTTTTGCTATGGCTTTTTTAGCCTCAGAGGAGAGTTCTTAGGAAATTCCCAGGAGGGCATGTGAAGTAAGAAGTTTGTACAGAGGCACCAATTCACTGGTAGTGATATTAAGCCAAGGACATAGCCAGTTAATGTCACCCCCAAAGGCCTGGAGGCCCACAACCATGAGGGGATAAGAGAGGAAGATAGTGGGTTTCATGGGCCTGAGATTGTTTAAATGGATTTCTGTGCCCAGGAAATGAAGGGGGTAGACTGTTTGGATCTTGTCCGTGGCCACAGATAGGCCATGAGCACTAAGGCCCTTAATTAGAAGGGGGAGATTTTGGTCGTGTAATTCTGGAGTGTCCAGAAGAAACATGAGGTCATCCATATAGTGATAGACCTCTACATCCCCCTGGAGAGCAGGGCAAATGTGCCTGATGGCATGTGACATAGCTTCTTGACACATGGTAGGAATATTTACCATGCTTTGGGACAGACATCTCTACTCGAACCTAGGAGAGGGGCCTGTGTTATTGGGTACAGGAACAGAAAAGGTAAAGCATTTTTTATCCCTGAGGTGTAATGGAATGGTAAAAAAGCAGTCCTTGAGATCTAAAATAATAATAGACTTATCATGGGTCTATAAGCCATGGATGGTATCCTTCTCTGGGGAGTTCCCCAAATAACCATGGAAGCATTAATTGCTCTAAGGTCCTAAAGTAGGCGCCATTTTCCTGACTTCTTTTTGATGGGGAAAATGGGCATGTTTCATGAGCTTCGGGAGGTTTGCAGGTGTCCCAGCATCAGCTGTTGCTGGACCAGGTCCTGGATAGCTGCGAGTTTGTCCCCATGAAGTGGCCATTGATCAACACAAATGGGCTCCTCTGAGCGCCATTCAAGGGCTGGGGTCCTGTACACATCAATGGCCATTAGAATTGGGGGTCATCATCTTTATGGGCATGCCTCAGATTTTTGTCCTCCTCCCGAATCCAATCATACAATGCCCTATCATCCTTGGTAATGACTATGCCCATTTGGCTCTGAATATCTCGCCTCAAGAGGTTTATTGACAAGTCTTCAGCCACCAGGGGCTTACATTTTACTGTGTTACCATCAGGGTCCTCCCATGTTACCCAATCTCTACATTGCCAAGTCTTCTGGACCCAATCAGGGTGGGACCCAGTATCAGGAGCCAAGTAGAGGGGACCTCTGCTCTTCTAAGGATGTTTTTGTCAACCTCGGTGTCCAAAAGACATTTAAACTGCTTGCCATTGAAGGTTAGGGCTATTTTGGGTCTTATGTCTTCCTCCAGTGGAATGGTCCAATGATCCCTGGCAGTGTGGGGTTTGGTCCCCGTATAGCCAGGCAACCCCCCTTTTGTGACGGGGCTGGTGGTTGCCCCTCAGTTAGTTTAAAGGCTTGCCATCAAGGTCATATTTGGATCAGCATCTTCCAATGGAATCCCTTTTTGCATCTTGGGCATTTGAAGGGGGGTGGTTTGGACACCCCAGGGTGGGGATTATTTGGGGCCTCAGGGCACTGTTTTGCCCAAAGCCCCTTTTTTTGTACTTAAAACAGATTTGGTCTTCCCTGGCTACAAGGGTCATGACTGTCATGGCCTTTGTCAGGGCAGTTGCCTGGACCTCTGCCATATGGGTGGAGGTCCCAGTATTCTGAGTGGCTAGCAGTCAGTCCCCTATCTCACTGTTTTGGAGCCCAGCAGAAGCCATCTTACATTCTTTTGTCATGTGTTCCCAGACAACAACTTTAAAAAGTTCATCCTGTGCTGATGGATCGGCCGTATGTCTTTTGAAGGCTGAAGACCCTATCTACAAATTCAGCAAAGGATTCTGAAGACCTTTGTTTCATCTGGGTAATGGGGTAACTCCATACTCTTTTGGAGGCACTCTACAGTCCCAGGCATGAAGAGCACAGTGTCGGAGTTGATCAAAATATTCTGGCAAGCCCTGGGACTGAATGGCTGGACTGCTGAATGTCCCGCCCCCTAATAGGGCATCCAAAGTTATCAGGACATTATTGTTATCATTTTGGGGGGCCTGTTGATCACACTCATCCTGGAATAGGTCAGCCCATTGTAAGTACAGCGGTCCTGGAAGGCAGGCTCTTGCTATGTCTTTCCAGTCCGAAGGTGTGTTAAGCCAGACTGAGAGATCATGAAGAATACCCTTTGTCCAATAGCCTGTACCCCATCCTCCTTAATTGCTTTCCTGAATTCAGTCAGTATCTGTGGGGAGTGAGGATACCATGGCAAGGGGCACTGAGGTCTAGTAACCAGATTAACAGGGAAAGCCTGAATCTGCGGAGCACAACCTAGGCAGAGCATGCTAGTCTCGCCTCAGGGAGATAGCCCATCCACAATCCCTTTGGTCGCACAGAAGCCAGGAACAATCATTGGTCAGTCCTCCAGGAGGAGGTCCATATGGTGGTAAGGCAGGGTATGTAGAAAGCCCGAGGTGGGGTCTGTAGGAAGCTCCTCCTCCCAAGTTGCATAGGACTCGAGGTTTGGTACAGTGACATTTCCTGCCTTGGCATCAGAATAAGGTGGCTCTCTAGTCCAACACTTCCTCCCTGATTGGTTTTGTTGAGTCCTAGCAAGGTCCTGGACAGCCGGACCCTTCGTGGCCAGAGCTGCCATCTTAGCGGTCTCCCAGGACTTGGCCTGTTCCTTGTCCTTTTCCCTAGCCAACATGGTATAAAGGGAAGAGTCCCTAGCAGGACATTCGCAAGTTACCCTGCCAAGCATTACTGGATAGTAGCTATGGTAGGATAGAACTGGAAAGAGAAAGTACAGCCCTAGTGTACTTCTGCTTTTTTGGCAAGCATCAGGATGGGAGCCCACATGTCCTGGTCAAAGATTTGGGAGTCATCTAGCCAAGGGGTGAGCTCAGTAATAGTTTTCCAAACATCTTGAGCCTGAGATTTGCTGACCTGGATTCCCCAGGACTCCAGTAGTGCATGGAGGTAATTTATCTGAGGGTTAGCCTGCAGTTAGGAAGTTACCTATCATGGGGAGCAAAGACCACTCCAGGAGCAGTCAGAGGGCAGAACTCAACTTTATTTTTTAGCAGGCTGTATATATACACATAATCATCCAATAATGTAAAGGCACTCATTGTGGACTAACGGTAGCAAAGGTCATGCTTATCACAGCTTACATTTAGCATTGGGGATCATGCGCTGATCACAGAGCCAGTCATGAAGAGGTAGACCAATCAAAGCACAGTGGAAGCATGATGCACTCTCAGGCCATGTGGGGAAAGGTGTGGAAGGAAGTGTGGCTATGGGGGCGGGGGGCGCACCATGTTGATGATGCAGTTTAAATTCTGATACAGGAAACAGGCCTAAGCTATGAAATGGCCCT